TTGTTTGACTTTTCCCAATTAAATCCATATCTTCATCTGAAAGTATAAAGACTTTAAAAACTTCATATGACTTGTTGTTATTATTTTATTCATTTCCGATTTGTCATCATCTAGTTTTTTGATATGGAAGTGATAAATAATGCCAATCTTTTGGAGGGGTAAGCCAAATTCTCCACTTTTTGTCGAACATTTTGAAGCCAAAAAACAGCAAGGAAATATTGAGTTTCTGCGAGTTTTTCAACCAAGGAGTGTTGTTCCAAGAGTTTTTCAAAGTTTTCCATCTTCAAACTAACTTTAGTTTTCTTTTCTACTTGCTGTTCCCAGAGACTCCTCCGGTTTGGATGCTAAATGCAAAGGGGAGTCTACCCAAGAAATAGCAGCAAACCAAGGCTTGACCCCTTTGCAAACTATCCAAAACACCCGCTCCTCGGTGTATCACATTTAAGACTTTGTTGACAACAGTTCATATCAAGAAACTTCAAGTTGTTATCAACTTCTAGACTTGAATTTTCAACTTGCTTTTGGTGTTAGGTTGGTACAAGTAATCGTTAGGAAGAGTTGCTTGAACATTAAAATTTTTTAATTTAACTTTTAAAGCAAAAAACTATTAATTTTTTCAAGAAGAAACTAATTCTCCAAAGAACCTTCATATTGATAGTTTGTAGCTTGAGAAGATTGTATACTACATTAGCTGATGCAATTCACTTATAGACTTAAACACAAATAAATATTAACATGATCGGTAATATTAATTTCAGCTTTGTGTTAATATATAAATTCAATATAGATGAATTAAATATATAATCTAATTTTACTTATTTGCTAGTCTTTTTATTTGAAATATGTTTTTACAAAGACTATTTATTCAAAATTTACAACTATTATAAAAAAGGAAGTAAACACTTTATTTGAAAAGTTATTTTCTAATAAAGATATTAAAAAATTTTGGATGCAATTAATTGACTAGAATAACAAAGTATATTTTTTTGATTTTGAAGGTATTAAGATAAATATTTGGTTAATAATTCAATATATTTTTGAAATAATTTTCAAAATAAAACACTGAATTATCAAGTTTTGCTGCTCATATAATATCAGTATCTTCTATATCAGCTGATTGTAAATGTTTCTGGTCAGTTATATCAAATATTCATTCTACACAATACAACAGATTAACTAATAAATGTGCAAGCAAATTAACCTGTATTCATTGGCATATGATTCAGGATGAGCATATTAAATATCATATTACTAAAAAATATAATTTGCTTAATACTAATGAATCTTTCAATTTAGAGAATGAAGATACTTTAGATGAAGAACTATTAGAAGATTTGGAGGATGATATTATGAAAACAATTGAGAATATAGATAAATTTAATAATAATGATGAAATGAAGCAACTAGTGAATGTAGTACACAATATTCTCAAGCTACAAACTATCAGTATGAAGGTTTTTTGGAGAATTGGTTTCTTCTTGAAAAATTTGTTAGTGTTTGCTTTAAGGGTAGGGTGAACGTAGATCATTTTTAATAGTGATCACGTTGCTAATTTTTTTACAATAACAATCAATTGA